GGCTGAAGCAGGATTCCAAATATAAGGATGCTACTAATTTTTAATAAGTCTTGCTTGAAAAAAAAAGATAAAGTCTACCGCTGTAGTGACTAGATCCTATTTGACGTTACTGGTTTCTAATTGTTTGAAGGCATTGCTTTTACGTGGGCTCAAAGTTTGATGTGTCAGCCTACGTTTCCAATTGTCGTTTTTTCATTAGCTTGGCTTTTTCCTTCAAAACATTTCCATTCAGCGTAAAGAATTGACACGTAACTCAGGTAAAGCACAATAGAAAACTTTTTTCCTGCTTCTCATCAGCAACAGCTGAACAGAATTACAATTAGCCTTAAATAACCTCCTTGCAGCATTCCAAAGAAAAACAAGAGAAACGCCGCTCCTGCACTAAACCTTAATGTTCCCTTACCGTAAAGTATTTTCATTTGAACGAACCTTGCAAAGTAAAATTGTTATGTATGTTTCAATTTAAACAGTTTGTGTGCAGAGGCATACAGAAAAAAGTACATTTGTGCACACAGCAACTCAGAGCCAAGTCCAGCGGGACGTTGTTGTTTTGAATATTTCATCTCAGAAGGTGAAAGAAGCCAAGTAGATGTCAAGCTGCCGAGCGGCCACGCCACCCGGCTCTTGTTACACTTGTCTTGCTTCCGCTGCAAACATCAGTCACAAAACCACAGAGAAGACTCGCCTTGACTCCCAAACATGTTCCATCAGCCGTGGTGATTAGTGACATTTCAGCCAAAACACCCTCAGCATATAATTCAGGAGCCGAGAAAACTAATCGGCACTGTCAGAGATGAAACCAGTGACCACCGGGACATGTGACATCAAATGGGAAATTAAATCATTAGTTATGCTTGGGTTGCTTTCGGCGAAAGCAGGAGTCGGGACAAAAAAAAGACAGTAAAAACCGGTTTTTGCCTCCTGTGTTAGAAAAAGAGGACTTCTATAAATACAACCTGTGAGTTATAACCGTGTTTCATTTATAATGAGAGAAAAGTCATCTGCTGTTCATCACTGAGCCACTACCACTACATCATCAATTAACTGAAATGAAGCCAATAAATGACACCTGAATGCAAAGTGATAGCCGGTAATTAACAAAACAGATCACTGCACAAATTACAGATGCCCCAGGATAAATCTGAACTATATAATGGAAATTAACTATTTACTCAGGGGGCGGCAGTTTGACTATTAAAGGCAGTATTTAAATGGGTTAGGAGTTTAATACTCTACATACTTTTGATTGCAGTTCAGTGTCTTCAGCATACTAATTACCCAGGCTGTTTAGGAGCCTTTGGTCAATGTATTTCACAATTAAGCTTCATTATATTAACTCAACTTGGCCTTTTCACACCTTTCTTCTAACATCTGCAGTGAGACTTCAAGTGCATCATTAATGTGCTATAAAACTTCCTGCCTATTAGGAATGTGAATTTCTGGTTGGTACATTCATCAGTGCACTGCCAGCAATCTGCTTCATTAAAATATAAGCACAGAAAAAATTGATACAATAAATATAAGTATATGCTTCCAGTCTGCAGGTTTCTTTCAGTTAGAGCTGCAACTTATTTTCTGAACGCATCTGTTGTCTGTCGAGATTTGATATATTAGCTTTGATGGCAAAATGTTGGAAATTATGACTTTGCCTGCATGGGAATTTCTTTTGCACATTTGCAAGTATCACAGCTTCACATTTGAGCAGTCTGATTCAAGATGGCCACCACAGCTAATCTAAATGAAAGCTGTAATTCTGTCAATTTAGAAGAAGTTGAGCTAAAAATGAACGTGAACACAACTTAATCATTCATAACACAAATGAGTGATTTTATGTAATTGCATAAAATTGCATTTTCAAGATTTGATCAAATCAGCAATTACTATCACATCTAAGCCCAAGGTTGTCACAGAGGTGGAGGTGCAAAACCCAGGTGAGAGAACCCAGGATGCAGTCAGATTTATTTAATAAATATTTGATTAATATTTATAAATAACCAGAGGTACATCTAGAGTATAGGGGAAAACAACAAGAGCTCAGAAGAAAAGGTAAGACTGAGAGAGGGAGCTTAAATACTGAGGGAAGTGATGAGGTGGACAAGAAACAGGTGAGTGAGTACTGAGTGATTTCAGGTGTGTCTCATTAAAGAGCGAGTAACACCTAAATTAACCTTTCTTTTTGCAGATAACCTGTATAGATGAGTGTTTAATGGTGCTGTACACATGTGCAATCACTGTGGCAGTTTAGTGCAACTTACTTTAAATTTAATATTTCAGCCCTAAACCATAATTACAGGGTATCTGCAGGTTTAAGGGAGCCGAATTTAAGACTTTTTAAGACCTTTTTTAAGGCCACTTTGACCAAATTTAAGCTTTTTTTTAATTATTAAATGTAAGCTATAATTTCCAGCTATTGCCTGGAACCGGTGCTAACCACGTCGCGAACATGGGATTAGCCATTCAGTTACCATTAAGCTTGCACCTCCCCATGACGCAAGCTCCCACTAGCTTAACCAGCTAATGTGCTGATCTAAAAATAACCCCTTTTCACGACCAACTGATTGTGTACGGTTCCGCTTACGGAAACACAAAAAATGCTGAACACTAGAAATTCATGAACATTTTATAGAAATAAAAGAATCTTGTTTATTGGGTCTTTGGTAATTTAAGACCTTTGGAAACTTTTTAAGGATTATTTGTCATTTTAAAGGATTTTTAAGGCCTTAAATTTGGAAAAGCCAATTTAAAACTTTTTAAGACTTTTTAAGGACCCACGGACACTCTGTAATTATATCTCCATCTTCAGGTTAAAAACTCTGCTCCACATTTATGTAGAGTTTGCTGTGGCTGATGGCTAAGCTGAAAAATGTGACGTTGTCAGCAAACTACTACGTGGCTGGTCTCCAGGTGAGGCAGCCACACCTCCACCTGGCTCAGCCACTTACCTGCTGATATGACACGTTGGCACTCTGAGCCGCTCGCCTCCTTGAAAAAAAACGGCCCTCCTCCCCTTTTTCATCTAATGATCGTGGTTAACAGAAAATTCTCCAGAATGCTGCAGAATCTGTCTGCTCTTCTCCTGAGCGGTAAGTCTTGCGTGAGTGAGTGCGTGCACACGCGCTTGTTAACAACTCGTTTTTAGACTGAGAAACTCCGACAGCACACGCAGGGGGGTTGAGAGTGGTGCGGTCTATCACTGCCTCAGTGCCGCTCTCTCGGTCCGCCAGGAGAGGCCTCTTTCAGACGTGTTTCTCTATCAGGAAGTGTGGATGAAATACGTCTCCACCCATGCATTGACCCTCACTTTAAATTAGGGTGCTGTTGGAAACAAAACAACAGAGATACTGGAGAATAAACTGAGGAGCCAGGAGAAAGAAACCCAAAGTACACTGACACGGGGGACACAAAACCTTAAAACATTATTTTAGTCAATTAAAATTATTTTAGTTCATCATCAAGAGAAGCCAGCTGAGATGGCTCATGCATCTGGTCAGGATGCCACCTGGACGCCTCCCTGGTGAGGTTTTCCAGGCACGTCCAACCGGAAGGAGACCTAAAGGGAGACCCAGGACACGTTGGGGGACTCTGTCTTTCACCTGGCCAGGGAACGCTTTGGGATTCCCCTCGGAGGAGCTGGCCCAAGTGGCTGGGGAGAGGGAAGTCTGGGTCTCTAGCTTGGTTTATGCTTGACGCATTTACTTTCCGCTTGGTGATGCGGCTCACGGATGGAACGCGCTTCACAACTTGCAGCGTTTATGGTTCATGCGGCTTGTCTCTGCGGTGAGCCAATATTCTCCCAAACTGAACGAGGCAGCATGGAGCTCTAAAGCATGCATCCAACACTACACCATAGTAGAAGTAGAAATTACTGTTTACAACATGGCATTCCAGCATTTTTAACAGCGTCCTCGTCTTTTCCGACAGTGCGAGCCATTTCTCTCCAAGAATTATTAACAACATGTTGATCACGGTGATCTTTGAGAGCTGAGTCATACAAATGTCTGTATTTACAAACCTCTGCCATACTAGTTCTTGCCAGTCCACCATGTTTTTCCGTGTCCTACCGTCCACGTGGTTAGAAAATTTCCTAGGTAAGCGGTGCGGAAAGTTTGGGCCGTGCGGAGGCGCGGTGGAGGGGCGTGATTGTTAAAATGATGCAACCTTTCCGCGCGGAGCCGTGCGGACCTCGCGGACGCGTCAAGCATAAACCAACTTAGGCTGCTGCCCCGTGACCCGACTCCGGATAAGCGAAAGAAAATGGAAGGATCGATGGATTTGAGCTCATATAGCACTAGATGCTTTATTTATTCATTTACCAAAATAGAACCCATTGTTTTGCTTAAACCTGGTTCACACAAAAGGATAATCGCACCAATCTAGATCACACGCCACATCACCATAATGGCTCTAAAGATAATCTTATCAGATAATCCTACCATGTGTGGTGTGTTACAAGTGCTCTGGTCTGCTCAGAAGCTCATTGGGATTGCTCGGATCATAAATCCTGGCTTTCAAACATGTATTGTCTTGGTCTGATTTTTGGGGACAAACAAACATACTGCCTTTTGAATGTGACAAGTAGCCCGTCAGAAAGCAAGGTGATGGTAGCGCTCAGCATGTTACTCCTTGGCCATGTTTGTGTATTTAAAGCCATGTTATAGCTGCGAGATTTCCCTTTTGGGGGGGGGGGGGGGTGTGAGTGGCGCTGTCTGCGCACTGCACACTGTGGACCAAAACTGTTATATTATGTTTTTTAATAAACAGGTGTGTGGTCTCATGTTTTGAAAATCGTCTGATGATTTTAAAATCCTGCCGTGTGAATCGTGCCCAAAACTGTGGCACTTTATACCCCTGCCAGATGAAGGCTACAGCACATCAGTCACTTTGCGTTTTTAAAAAAGATTTTAAACAATTCAAAGAGCAAAGTTGTGTTTTCCATGTGTCCATTTTCCTTCAGATATGAGATCTTTTTCAGGGATAAATGAGTTAAGTGCAACACTTACTTGGACACCAGGGAGAAGGCTTCAGCACACACGGCAGGACACGGCACCAGCTTGATCATTACGTGCTCTGCCGCAGCCTGGAAATGCGCCCGCGTCACCTTTTCCAGCACAGAGGCCAGCGTGGCCACATCACCAGCCTTTGTGCTCGGGTCACCTCCCACTGTGTCCAAGATGTTTCCTCCGTGCACCACGAGGAGCAACACATGGGTCTTACATTTCCTCTACAAAAAAGAAGAATGGGGGAAAATAAAGGATGCTTTAAAGTGGAGTCTTGAATGAAGGGGATGAATGGAGGACGCATTTTGTGACAGCAGTGGGGCTGAGTAGGAAGATGAATAAGCAGACACCCACCTCGACATCATCCAGGCCTTCAATGCTGCTCTGGGGAGCACAACGCGAACTTCCCAGCTGGTACAGACCCTCTGAAAATGATGAGTAAATGATGTGAGAAGGACAAGGCAGGAGGGAAGATTGGAAGAGAGGGTTAATGCAGAAGATACTTCACTCAAATACACCAGTTATAGAAGCATCAATGGATATTGATCAGCGAATATGGTCAATGTTGCTAATGCGTCTTCATTTCTCTTCGTTTTGTGCGGTGGCTCTATAAGTTCTATAATAACCAAGAGATTCAGTCGGTACGGCAGCAAACAGCAGCTGTTTGCATGGCTTGCAGGGGCATGATTGTTTTCTCTGCTGCTGCAGCTATAGACTTCACTAATTAGATTTTAGCTTCTGCAAGTAAAATAACTTTCTTATTTATGGTAAAGAGGAGTTTGTGCTCTGCTCAGCATTTCATAGGAAACTGGCCAAATTCATTAGCCTGTCTGAAAGCCTGTGCACGCTGTGTCATCTTCTTCCTGAGCCCTCTCCTGTCTCCTGCTCTATTTTCCGTCTGCAGCCTTAGGACACGCCTCTGTGCTGTGCTCACTGGCTCCTTGTTTATTTGGCTTCCTTGTCTGGGACCGACTGTCATGGGAGGCTCTCACAGACTGATTCGCCGTCGGCTTCCTTCTTCCATTCCCAGCCCACGGCTATGCCCCCGACAGCTTACGCGTCTAGAAACAGAAAAAGCTCACACAAGGGACTTGGCTCGGAATTATATTTAGTCACAGAGTAACAGGAAATCAATGCTGGGAAGGTTTCCTTTTTTTCCTTCTAACACTAAAAGGAGGTATAGGAGCAGAGCTTTTATCAGAATGTTACCAGACAGCAAAGAAAAACGTCTCAGTTTGAGAAGAAGTCAGCCGTACTGATATAAAAACAAGTATTTCTGGATACCATGAATACATATTTGAGAAAATCTGAATATCTATCTTAGGAAGATTTTGTATTTCAACACTTTCCTTTTTGTGGTGTCATCTAATGACTTGTATGCCTTTGAGACCGGGATGAATTAATTTCTTCTTACACACACAAAACGTCTTCAGCCTCTAACGCTGTTCCTGTTTCTGTTTACTGAGCTCATCAGAATAAACAGAGAATCTGTTAATCTCCAAAGAGATCTTCAACATTAACCCGTTCAATGCAGAGGAGATCCCGTTACGTCTTCGTTTCTTCAGTTGTGTGAAGCCCAGATGTGTTAATCTAGCTATCCCCGTACTAGTGACAAGTTCTGAGGACTGTTGTCCCTACGGCTCGTTCACCATTTCACCATTTCTATGTTCACCATGGAAACTTTGCGCTAAACATGGTAAGCTTTGAGATGTAAGTTTTGATCATGTGTACAAAGTGTTAGATGATCTAAAATAGTAATGTGGTAAATGGTAAATGGCCTGTATTTGATATAGCGCCTTCTAGAGTCCTAGAACCCCCCAAGGCGCTTTACAACACAATCAGTCATTCACCCATTCACACACACATTCACACACTGGTGGGGATGAGCTACAATGTAGCCACAGCTGCCCTGGGGCGCACTGACAGAGGCGAGGCTACCGAGCACAGGCGCCACCAGTCCCTCTGACCACCACCAGCAGGCAACGTGGGTTAAGTGTCTTGCCCAAGGACACAACGACAGCAACAGACTGAGCGGGACTCGAACCAGCAACCTTCCGATTACGGGGCGAGCACTTAACTCCTGTGCCACCGTCGCCCCTAGGTTTTATTTTGTTAGCTGTAATCACAGAGATACAGCTATGGATAAAGGCTGAAGCTCTGGTGGACATGTTTCAGGATTTACAAGTGATCCAGATCAGAGCTGAGCGGAACACGGCAGGATTTGTCCCTGATATACCGACATCTCACCTCAGCAACATGATCCTACCACTGACTCCTTTTGCTCTGAGACATTGATGTTTTACCTCCACAAATAACACAAGCCCAAAGTAGTTCTGCTGCGTTGTAGAGTTACTAATGCCAAAGGTTAGCTTCTACTAGCCGAGACTGCTGTTTCCTAGACGTTAAACCAACAACAGCCTTCCCCATTGCGGGTCAAGATGGGTGAGTCCATGAATGTTAAGTGAGAATGTGATGTAAATCTGTCAGAATTTTTCAAATCCTAGAGTCTCACCGTCTATTTTCTATCAGAAGCTAACACAGGAGATAGGCGTAGGAGACTATTTTCACTCAGAGTGACTGATTATTATCATAAATAATGATTTAAAAATGTTTTTTCAGTAAAGTACCACTTTAAGTCCTTTATTAAGAAAAATTGTGTATTTGCGTCCTCTTTTATGTTGTATGGCAGACTGCCCCATCCATAGTGGTGAGTACGTCATGTTCTTCGTTATCCAATAGCATGCGGAGACAGTTTGAAAGACAACAGTAGATTCCGCCCCACGACTGAGTTCTGTCTATGGGTCGTGGCCAGACTATGCATACACATATATAGGTTGGACTGCCAGGCAAACATCTTTGTGCTGATGATTAAAAAGGTTAAATCTAAAACCTAATCATGTTTAGCACAAAGCTTACAGATCCGTTTGAAAAAGCTAACCCCAGTTGTGCAATGACAGTCCTCAACACTGGCTGCCAGTTCAGTATGGGTCTGGGTCATATAGCTACAAATATTAGATTAACACACCTGGAATTTACCGTATGCAGATGAAGCAATGAAGGTGTAACCGGATCTCTTTTGCCTCGACACAGTTCGTCTTTGGAGATTTACAGATTCTCCCTTTATTCTGATGAGCACAGTAAACAGAAACACAAAACCAGTGACTCCAGTTACAGAATATATTTTGAAACTAATTTGGACATGTGGAGCAGATACTTTACTACATTTGATGACCAAATGATGAAAAAAATAGAAGGGTTCTTGTGCTTTTTAGAATCAGTAGGAGAGAGAGAGACTGATGGAGAGGTTTGAAGGCTGCTGATTTAATAAAACAAATTAAATAATTTCATAACTTCACAGTCAAGCTCCGCAAATAAAATCTGCTGAAACGAACATGAAATTTCAGTTTGATCGTCGCACAATGAAATGAAATCACTTTTGAAGCAGATCCTTTAACTCCACAGAGTTCAATTTTTAGTGACCGATTAAGAGACTTTTTGTCATATTGGGGTGTATTTTTTTTGACCCACAACATGTAAAATCACCACGGAGGCAAAGGTAAGTAAAAAAGTATTTATTTTGTTTGGTATAAGTGCAGGTGAAGGTCTGGGGTTCGGGAGGGTCCAATAGCGTTCTGTAGCAGAGACAATGATGAGTAGTTGCAGGAAAATACAAATAAACGGGGTGAGAGGAGGCTTACAGTTTCCAGAGCGTTTGGGGAGCTTGAGAAGAGGGCGAGTCAGGTCTGGATGAGTGAAATGGTTGTGAGGGGCAGAGATGATGGCTGGGAGCTGAGCGCAGGAATCCAAAGTATCCGAGCGGGGCAGGTGAGCGTTGGAGAGCAGGCGGTCAGGGTGAGCGGTGTGGCTGGCAGGCAGGGTGATTCCAGGAGTTTCTTTCTTGAAGAGGAGTGCAGTCAAATGAAGGGGGGGGGGGGGGGTCGGAGGAACAGGGCAGGTAAGTACGAGGCAAGCAGGGAACACTGGAGACAACATGTCCGAGACAGGCAGAGTACAGGCGAGATACTACCCAATACTGAGTAATCATCCGGCACTGGTGAGTTGTCACACCGCTCCTTAAATCCCCTGACCTCTGATGAGAAGATTCACAGCAGCTGCTCTCCGGGACACACCCGCCTACAAACAGAAAGACTCAGACCAGACAGAGGTTAGCTCAGCACAGCCCATGACACTTTTATTTATTTATTTTTAAAGAGAGGAAAGAAAAGGTACGTTGTTAAAACATTGGTTTTGCATGTTGCATAAGGAATGCTGTTGTATTCATTCCTATCATGTGTAATCTATATTTAACACTGACTATGATAGTTGTCACAAAATCACAGGAATGAAAACTCTTGCGCAAACAAAATAAAAGCTCCAGATAATAATCGTAGTGTTGTGCTAAAAAACATGGTGGCTTCCAGCAAATAGCTGCATTCAGCAGATTGTAGTCGGACTCATTTCGAAGGGAGACGAGGCAGAGTACAGAGAGGAAGTCCTGAAGTTGGCAGCATGGTGTTCAGAAAACAACCTGTCCCTGAACACCAAGAAAACCAAAGAGCTCATTGTCGACTTCAGGAGACACAGCACCGAGTTGGCCCCCCTCTACATCAACAGGGAGTGTGTGGAGAGGGTGTCCTCATCTCTGATGACATCTCCTGGGCGGAAAACATCTCAGCGGTCATCAAGAAGGCCCAACAGCGGCTGCACTTCCTGAGAGTCCTCAGGAAGTACAAACTGAACTCCGACCTGCTGCTGACCTTCTACCGCTCGTCCATTGAGAGCCTGCTAACCTACTGCATCACGGTATGGTACGGCAGCTGCACCACGGCGGATAGAGTGAGGCTTCAGAGTGTGGTAAAGACAGCACAGAAGATCATCGGCTGTCCTCTCCATGATGGACATTTATTCCTCCCGCTGCCTCAGTAGGGCAGCAAACATCATCAAGGAGAGCTCCCACCCTGGCTTCAACATGTTCAGACTGCTTCCCTCAGGGAAGCGCTACAGGTGCATTAATACAAAAACCCACAGACTCAAAAATAGTTTTTCCCCAAAGCAATAACCACCCTGAACTCACACATGCACCGATAACACAGCCCCCCACTTCCCACTTCCTCCATCGACCACCACTATCTATTGATACCAAATTCCATGTGCAATAAATTGTATATACATAACATTACTGTCCATATGAACATAGTGCTGCAGAACTGTAACAATACTGTGCAATAATTTGTATATAACACTTACTTTCCACATGCACATAGCGCTGCAGAACTGTACCCCCCCTCCCCCCCAAGTATGTTTGTTTTACACTGAGTAGGAGATGCTCTGTATCTCACTTTACACTTGTATAGTGACAATAAAGGCATTTTATTCTAAAAAAAAATCTATTCTATTCTATTGTAGAAAAGGCCATCAGAGGAAA